CGGCGCAGGCGGATGTAGAGGGCCAGGCGCTAAGGACTCGGCGTCGGGAGGCGCTGATGGTGCTGAAGGGCCCGGCATCAGGTGATGTATGAAGGGACCGGCGTTAGGCGGTGTAGAGGGGCCGTTGGCGAGATGAGGGCCGACGTCTGGAGGTGGAGGAGGTGGTGAGGACCGACGTCTGGAGGTGGAGTGGGTTAGTCGCAGTCTGGCTCAGCGTCCGTGGGTGAGGTGAGCAGCGCAGGTGGATGTTGTGGGCCAGCGACTGGGGGCCCTGCGTCGGTGGGAGCGGTAAGGCCGCGTGGTAGGCTTGGCTCCGCCGAATTGGATAGGGTTTGGGCAGTTCAGTGGTAGGTGCCCCAAAGGGAGGCTTACCCTCTCGGTGCAGGTAGCAGAGGTGCGGCGGCGTCCTGGAAAGGTCCCTGGTCTGGGGGTGGCTGGTGCAGGGCAGCTCGCAGGGTGCTGGGAGGCCCAAAGCAGTTCCCAGGCAGGGTCGCCGGGTGCGGGCCGCTGAGTGTTGGATGCTGGACTGGGTGCCCCGAGGTGGCGGCAGGGTGTCAGCAGCTGGACGCGGGCGGTCTGGGGTATAAGGTTAGTGTTAGCAGCTTTAGGGTTAGGGCTCCATTTAAGCGCAGGAGGATCCTCTTTACATTACAGTCACACAAAATATGTCTTCCAGCAACAATAAACCCCAGCAGCCAACAACATAGACCCCTCCTTCAACAGTAGATCCCTTCGAGCAACAAATGACCCCCGTAAACAATAGATTCCCCACCTGCAACAATAGATCTCCCCAGCAACAATAGACCCCAGCAGCTAGCAAAAATAGGCCCCCTCCCTCAACAGTAGATCTTTTCCAGTAACAATTGACCCCTTCAGCAACATAAGCCGCGCCCAGCAACAGTAGATCCCCCACCAACTACAATAGACCTTTGCAGCAACAATAGACCACAATGCAAAAATAGATTGCCCCCAACAACAATAGACCACCCAACAGCCAGCATTAATAGACCCTCCAGCAAACCCCAGCACCCCTTGCCATTACATATATTCAGTGCTGGAGGTGCAGAAACTGCAGTCCTGCTGAAAAAAAGCCCTGATTATACATCATTAAAAATGTTTATTAATAAGTATAATAATTATACATTTTAATGATAGGGCTCATATACATCTGTGGGGATGTGTTCTGCTCCAGTATAATGCACATTCGCAGGCGTGCTCTGTGTCGGGTGATGCAATACATTGTTACAATAAATTTTCTTTTTTACTTTATTGAAGTGTCACAAAATATTTCATTCGGTTCTATGCACCATGTGCTGCACTATATAAAAAGGCACACATGATATATTTTTACACAAAACATGCCATTGCACATGTCTGGTGTGAACAAGGCACATAGTTAACAATTGATTTCTATGTACCCTTTGTGTTCACCCTGTGTTGATCAATGCTGATTAACCACTTGCCTACCAGGCACTTATACCCCCTTCCTTACCAGGCCAATTTTCAGCTTTCAGCGCTGCCGCACTTTGATTGACAATTGCGCGGTCATGCAACATTGTACCCATATGAAATTTTGATCATTTTTTTTCTCACAAATAGAGCTTTCTTTTGGTGGTATTTAATCGCCACTGGGCGCTTTACTTTTTGCGCTATAAATTAAAAAAAGTGCAAAAAATTTGAAAAAAATTAAAAAGTTTATTTGTTTCTTTTATAAAATTTTTCAAACAGGTATTTTTTCTCCTTCACTGATTTGCGTTGATGAGGCGGCACTGATGGGCACTGATAGGCGGCACTGATGGGCACTGATAGGCAGCACTAAAGGGCACTGATAGGCAGTACTAATGAGGTGGCACGGATAGGCGGCACTGATAGACAGCACTAATTAGGGGTCACGGATAGGCGGCACTGATATGCAGCACTGATAGGCGGCACTGATAGGTGACACTGATGATGGGTACTGATAGACGGCACTGACTGGCATCACTTCTGGGCACTGACTGGCGGCACTGACTGGCACAACCCCTGGGCACTGACTGGTGGCACTGACTGGCGGCACTGGTGGGTGGCACTGGTGGGTGGCACTGGTGGACAGCACTGGTGGGTGGGCACAGGTGGGTGGCACTGGTGGGCACAGGTGGGTGGCGCTGGTGGGCACAGGTGGGTGGGCACAGGTGGGTGGCACTGCTGGGCACATGTAGGTGGCACTGCTGGGCACAGGTAGGTGGCACTGCAGAGTGGCACAGGTGGGGGCACTGCTGGGCACAGGTGGGGGCACTGCTGGGCACAGGTGGGGGCACTGCTGGGAATGGGTGGGCGGGGCTAGTGGGCGCACTGCTGATCGGAACTTGCGGGGGTCACTGCTGGGCACCGATCATTAGGGCACTGATCATCAGTGCCCTGATGATCGGTGACGATCCCCGCTCTGACAACTGCCGGTTCTCGGCAGTACTTTCCTCACGATCTGACAGCGTGAGGAAAGTGCAGCCGAGAACCGGCACTTGCATTTTCCTGTGATCAGCGTGTCATTGGACACCGCTGATCACGTGGTAAAAGGCCGGTGGGATCGGCCTTTCACCACATCTCGTGATCAGCTGTGTCCTTAGGACACAGCGATCACGGAGATCGCCGGGTGCGCGCCCCCTGGGGCGCGCAGGAGAGCGCGTTCTGGGAGGACGTCATATGACGTCCACTCAGAACTGGCCGGCCGCGGTGAAGCCGTCATTCGGCTATGCGTGGTCGGCAAGTGGTTAATGCACGTGGTGTGAATGAGCCAATCACGCAGGCTGTTGTGCTACTGCATTTTTTGCTGGTAACTGACTCCACTCCTCCTCTGGTCCTCCTCATGACCCTGCACTTTCTGATTACCAGATCTGCCCCCAAAGGGGGTGCACGGTGATGTTAGGGAGGGTGGGAATTCTTGACATCTGATGTAATGGGGGGTGGGGTGCTCTAGTCTTACAAATACAACCGGCCGTTCGATGGCAACCATAATGCTGATACAGCCCACGATGAAATGGAGTTTGACACCCCTGCTATATAGGATACATTATTCCTATGCAGGATATTGTCATATGTAATAATTAGCGTTGCAGAATTATATTGCATTTAAAAATATAAAAGTCATATGACCTTGCAGCAATAAAAATGTATTTTCCTGGAGCCAATTCATGACAGCATACTACCACATGTATGCTTACATGGATTGGTGCCAAGAAAGTAAAAGTAACTTCCCTGACGGTATTCCCGAGTGTAACTCAGGGTAAGGTTTCAGTACCAAAAGCGGTAACCCCGAACTACACTCGGGCTTACGATGCGGCGCTGCTCCGGGATCTGTTCTTCTCTTACCTTGTCCTGCACTCCCGCGATGTCCTCCCTGCAGTGTCCCCTGTAATGTACTCCGGCCGATGCCGGCATCTGTCTTCTGGGTTCCGTCCCCTGCGAGCGTCGGGACGTACGGGGGACGAAACTGGCGGGAAATTTGAAAATGACAAAAAGTGAAATTCACTAAAAACACTAAAATCTGATAGTATAACATTACTGTATCAAACCATTTCACATACATTTTGTCCCTAGTGCTTTGTCCTGTGCCCTGCCTGCATTTTTACTGTTCTTTCTGCCTGGAAACTGAGAAACGTCCATGGCGTCCAAAAGGTGTCCCTTTAGGTTAAAAGTGGTTTTAGACCAGCTAGAGAACAGCGATAGTAAATTAGAACTACTTGCAGAATTGAGTGATAATGATTTGTGGGGAAATTTGTCATCAGACACTGAAAACGATTTTGCGACTTTGCTGAGTGATGTGCGAACTTGGCGCTATATTTCAAATTTCAGTGTTTTTGGTTTGATTATATTATTGAATTAAATTTATTGTTATTATATTATTATTTTTTATGATTATTTATTAAATTATAATGTATGATTTCGTGTTTCAAATTTTAACATACACGGGATGTTTACTAGACTCTTGTTCGGACAGATTTCAGTGAGTTATTCCTAAAAATTACAGGCCTACAATAAAAAAAATACATATTTCCATGCAAAAAAATGTACCGCTTTCAGCACAGAAATACGAACATAATCAGACCTCTAGCGAGGTTAAGGTAAATATTTGATACAATTTTCCATTTTTGCTGTTGGAGAGATTACATCATTTGCTGTCTGATAAAATGGTTGTCCCCAGCACAGGAGGAGAGGGGACTCTATCTAAGGCTACATGTACACTGAAGCGCCATTGGACACCAAGCTCTCCTGGCTCCTAAAAAAACGGCAAATGTGATGAAAAGGTGTGTAAACGTGGTATCACACTGAGCTGCGATTACAGCGTTTAGCCATGTTTAGTGCTTGCACTTTTATTCATTTTCTTGGTCAGAGTACATGCCATGGAAATGAATAAACACCCAAGAGCTAAACGTGGCGCATATACACGCGTTTTGTTTTTTTTGGCCAAAACGTTCCTCTCCTGAACGCGATTCTTCTGCGTTCAGGAGAGGGACTTTTAACTGCCTCTAAACGATGCTGCTGCTAAACTCTAATTAAAGCCCATGTCTGCACGAGTTTAGAGGCTTTGGCAAAAAAAAAGCTCCTAATCTCACCTTTAGAAGCAGCGGTGTACAAGAGGCCTAAAGCTGGCCATAGATGAGAAGAAAAACAAACCAATGTGTAAATGTTTGTTTGATATAATATTTAACCACTTCCCATCTGGCCCATGTACATAAACGGAAGGATGGGAGGGCTGCCGGTGCGGGGGGATGTTTGTAAACGTCCCCCCGCATCCATTGCCTGTGCACGCTCCCTGGGAGCCCGCGGCACCGCGATCCGGTGCCCACTGTGTTTGATATAATATTTAACCACATCCCATCTGGTCCATGTACATAAACGGAAGGATGGGAGGGCTGCTGGAGCGGGTGGATGTTTGTAAACGTCCCCCTGCATCCATTGCCTGTGCATGCTCCCTGGGAGTGCGCGGCACCGCGATCTGGTGCCCATTGTGTTTGATATAATATTTAACCACTTCCCATCTGGGCCATGTACATAAACGGCCGGACGGGAGCGCTGCCAATGCGGGTGGACATTTCTAAATGTCCTCCCGCATCCATTGCCTGTGCATGCTCCCTGGGAGCGCGCCACACCGCGATTGGTGCCCGCTGTGTCCTCCGGACACAACAGAACACCGATCGCTGTATGGGACCTCTGTGTCAGGTCCCGATTCATGTGATCCTTGATTGGCCAATCAGTGATCGCATGAATAGTAGTAAGCAAGATGTCACTTCCTGACATCATTGCTTACTACGTGTAAAATCTGTGAATGATCACAGAGGTCACATGGTACAAGGCTATTCACAACAGCCTTGTACCATGTGACAAGCTATGACCAATCACAGCTCTCACAGTATTTCTCAATGGCTGCAAGAATTCAGCCAGAGAGAAGGAGAAATTATTATTGCTTTTTTAGCCTTCATAAGTGTAAAAGCAATCAGTGTACAAAAAAAAAAAAAAAAATCTTCATCACCCCCCACAAGTAGTACATTGTCACTATAACACACAAGTAAAAATAGAAAAAATAAAGTAAAAATGTAAAATCAATTTTTGAAAAATTATAATGTTATAAACTAAATTGGGTTATTTTTTTTTTTTGCTAAAAAGATCGATGAATACATTTTGGCCAAGTTTTTATAAAGAAAGATTATTTATTTGCAAAATTTTATAAGAAAAACACTTTTTTCAAAATTTTTGGACTTTTTCATTTATATAGCAAAAAAAATAAAAAAATCCCAGTGGTGAATAAATACCACCAAAGTAAAGTTTTATCTGTCTCAAAAGAATGCTAAAGAATCCATATGGGTGCAGTGTTGCATGACCGCGCAATTGTCATTCAAAGTGTGATAGCACTGAAAGCTGAAAACTGGCCTGGACAGGAAGGGGGTGAAAGTGTCCAGACTTGAAGTGGTTAAATGAGCCATCATTGTTTCAGAAATTTTCCAAAGAACATCAACATTTTTCTGATTGTTTTCAACTTTAACGGGTGGTTCAAACCAGAATGCAGTGAGGGAAATGCATGCTCCGTGCACATTTCCCGCATTGCATTCAAAACTTACTGTCTTTGCGATCTGGTGCCAAAACATTGTTAACGGCTCCCAAAGGCAGTGAGTTTGTTGGCACCACATTGCATGGTACCTCAGTACCATGTGATTTGGTGCAGCATGTTTTTCAAAAGTAGTGCAGGCACTACTTTTGCTGCGATTCGCTGCAATTTCAGCCCATTCAAATGCACAGGAATCACATAGGAGCTTGGTGCGTGTTCTTGTGCAACTCTGGTGTGAACCCTAAAAGCTCTAAAGCACTGTTATCTTGGGCAGCACAGTAGCTAAATGGTTAGCACTTCCGCTCGGCAGTACTAGGGTCATTGGTTTGAATCCCAACCATGGCACCAGCTGCCTGGAGTATGCATTTTCTCCCTGTGCCTGCGTGGCTTTCCTCCAGGTACTCCGGTTTCCTCCCACACTCCAAAAACATGCTGGTCAATTAATTGGATCCCGTCTAAATTGGCCCTAGTATGTGTATGTATGAATGTGAGTTAGGGACCTTAGATTGTACACCCCTTGAGGGTTAGGGACTGATGTGAATGTACAATATACCGTATATGTAAAGCGCTGCATAAATTGACAGCACTGTATATGTATCTGTAATAATAATATTTTCCGTTCAATTTTTTATGGGCAGAAGTGATGCAATGTAATTTCAAATTTTTTTTCCAGAATGATGGAACCACTAATGGTTTGAAATGTGTTTGTTTGAAAAGAAATTTCCAACATGACCATTTGTTTATTGTGGAAATAGTAGAAAACGAAATTCAAAATTAGCGCATTAAATATGTGACTATTGAACGATCATGCGTCTGCATACAAAATTAATTTGAATTTCTACTACTGTATGGCCAGCTATGGCCACAGAATCTTCGATGGCAGTAAAACCTGACAGGGGTTCTAATCCTTCCCCACTCTGTCACTTCCTAATTGGAACGTGATACCAAACCGGTAGGAAAAGCATGGAGGGAGAGCATCCCCTGTCCCAGCAGATCGTAATTTAGGGCCCATTCACCCCAGACGCAGTTGGATGCATGTTTGACTGCATTCCAACTACATAGACAGGAAAAAACTGTGTGTAAGACATCACTGATACAAAATATGGAGTTTGGTATCTCTGGAGGTGATCCGTAACAGGGTGCTCTTCAAAGGGATCCTATGGGTAGATGAGGGTGAAAGGAAGGGTAGTCTTGATGAAGACTTGACTGCCTCTCGTAAAATCGCTCTGCAGGGTCTAGGTCAGCAATGGGCAAACTACGGCCCGCGGGCCGTATACGGCCCGGCGGACCTTTTAATCCGGCCCGCGGAGCGTGATACTGTCAGGATGGCTGTCAGGATGTGTGTAGGCGGGGCAGCGTGACGAACGTGAGGGGAGCTAGGCTCCTCTCACAGTCCGCCCTGAAGACCGGAACTGCGCGGGAACACGGCGAGAGGAACGCGCGGAGCAAAGGTAAGTAAATTGACACAGGGGGGACTTGGGGAATTAATATGGGGGATGAATTAATATGGGGAATGAATTACTATAGGGGGGATGAATTACTATAGGGGGGATGAATTACTATATGGGGGATGAATTACTATGGGGGATGAATTACTATATGGGGGATTAATTACTATGGGGGGGATGAATTACTATATGGGGGATTATGTACTATAGGGGGGATGAATTACTATATGGGGGATGAATTACTATGGGGGATGAATTACTATATGGGGGATTAATTACTATGGGGGATGAATTACTATATGGAGGATGAATTACTATGGGGGATGAATTACTATATGGGGGATGAATTACTATGGGGGATGAATTACTATGGGGGATGAATTACTATATGGGGGATTAATTACTATGGGGGATTAATTACTATGGGGATGAATTACTATATGGGGGATTAATTACTATGGGGGATGAATTACTATATGGGGGATGAATTACTATATGGGGGATGAATTACTATGGGGGATGAATTACTATGGGGGATGAATTACTATATGGGGGATGAATTACTATGGGGGATGAATTACTATATGGGGGATTAATTACTATGCTTACTATGGGGGAATATTACTATACTTACTATGGATGACACATACACATCATTCATCTACTCTTGGTCCGGCCCCCGGGTCCAATATATGAACCCATTGCGGCCCTCAAGTCAAAAAGTTTGCCCACCCCTGGTCTAGGTAGATGAGGTAGGTAGGAGGTAAGCGTGATATGCAGCAGGAACGTCACACTTCAGGCTTTTATACAATGTATTTAATGAAGTTTTCAGTTCATAGTGTACAAACTGAGCCAACGCGTTTCAGGGGAAAAGCATCGCCCTTCATCCGGGCTTAGGTGGCGGATTATTTAACAATTGGTCTAGGACTGGAGATGAGTCGTCACCAGAGTTCTTGTGAAGCTGCAGAAAATGGAACACAGCCAGCCAAAGTGAGGCAAACGGTTGGTGGGTGTATTTGAAATGATGGGGGGAGGGGGGGGTACACATGGATCCAGTGACAGGCAGATGTTGGGGCAAAATTGTGTCCCATTGAGTTTTTGGAATAGTATGGGGAACTATATAGGCAGTCCAAAATCCAGGTAATTCTATGGGCTTAGTTCACACCATTACAGTGCTGTGCAGTGAAAAAAAACGACAGCATACTGCATATTTTTGCACAGCAAACGTGCACAAACGCACACAAACACATGCAACTACACCACAACGGATTGTAGTGCAGATAAAAGCCCTAAAAAAGAAAGAAAGAAGAAGGACAAATGTGGATGGAAAAAAGTGCATCAACTGCATGCAAACATGTAAGAAAACATGCACTAAATGCATGCAAATGTGCATTAAAAAACATGCAGTAGACATGCAGTTTCTGGTGTGAATGGACCCTAAGAGGACTGCAGGAAGGGATGAGGGACATGAAAGATGGCTATGATATTTTACATTTGAGAAGGAGTGGACTTCTATCTGCAATGCACAATGACACTTCCCATCCATAAAGATCCCTTCTTATCTCTTAGTTTTATGAGTATATGGTATGGTGATGGCACCAAGGACAGATATGGAGGAATGAGGTCAGGTATGTGACCCTGTCATAGATTTACAGTGAAGTCTTATAACTACCTTTATCCACTTCCTTGTAAAATGATCTCTGACCCCATGGCAATGATTTATCACTGTGGTAATATGAAATATGTCATTTTGTTATGACTTTAGGAACAACTTATACAAGAATTAGCCTATGTCACACATTCTCTTAACCACTTGCCTACCGGGCACTTATACTCCCTTCCTTACCAGGTCGATTTTCAGCTTTCAGGGCTGTCGCACTTTGTATGACAATTGCGCGGTCATGCAACATTTTTCCCATATGAAATTGTCATAATTTTTCACACAAATAGAGCTTTCTTTTGGTCGTATTTACTCACCACTGGGTGTTTTATTTTTTGTGCTTTAAACAAAAAAAGAGCAAAAAAAAAAGTTTTTCTTTGTTTCTATTATAACATTTTGCAGACAGGTAATTTTTCTACTTCACTGATGTGTGTTGAAGAGGCTGCACTGATAGGCAGCACTGATGGGCACTGATAGGCGACACTGATGAGGTGGCATGGATAGGCGGCACTGATGGGCAGCACAGATAGGCGGCACGGATGGTCAGCAATGATAGGCGGTACTGATGGGCACTGATAGATGGCACTGATGATGGGCACTGACTGGTGGCACTGCTGGGCACTGACTGGCGGCACTGATGGGTGGCACTGATGGGCGGCATTGCTGGGCACTGACTGGTGGCACTGATGGGTGGCACTGCTGGGCGGCACTGATGGATGGCACTGCTGGGCTGCACTGATGGGCACTGGTGGGTGGCACAGGTGGGTGGCATTGCTGGGCACAAGTGGGTGGCACTGCTGGGCACTGATGGGAACAGGTGGGTGGCACTGCTGGGCACTTGTGGGCGGCACTGCTGGGCACCGATCATCAGGGCACTGATCATCAGTGCCCTGATGATCGCTTCCGATCCCTCCTCTGACAGTGTGAGGAAAGTGCAGCTAATAACCGGCAATTGCATTTCCCTGTGATCAGTGTGTCATAGGACACGGCTGATCACATGGTAAAAGGCTGCTGTGATTGGCCTTTTACCATATCAAGTGATCAGCTGTGT